CTACTTGCATTACTATAATCATCAGGACTTTCTCCCATCCTCTGCTGGGGAGCAATCATCACTTTAGGTCATCCTGCTCCTCTTTCCCACATTTCAAATGCCTTTGTTGTATACTACAAGCTGAGCAACACCTTCTCATTTTAGGTCCCTGTCCATTAACGTTCCTATTCTTCTCCAGCAAAAGAACAAAAATGTCACTGCGTGATGTGTTAATACCACATTCTTTCTGCCATTCAGCGTGGTTCCTTAAAGAAAATAAAAACCATATCACAGTATGTTGTTCAAAGCTGCCTTTGAACAACAAACCGCAAACCAGGTCCAGACGCTCGACGAGGTGGCCGAGACTATGGTGCAGGAAGTGTTGCAGAGGCCGAAGGCTCCTCGGATCAGCCTGTCCATGTTTTAAGGAAGCCTGCCCTGGAGAACAGAGGAAGACTGTGTGGCTGCTCTGGAAGCGCAGAGCCTTTGGAAACTTCTCCAGATGACCAGCAGGAAATTGAACTGCTGGCCAAAGGGCTTCTAGTGACCATGCTGCAGTGCTTGCGGGAGCGTTTGGCATCCAGCACGTCCAAAGCATCTGGGCCAGGGCCGGCAGCCAGCCAGAAGCAGCAGGCTGTTATCAGAGGAACAACCTGAGCGGGCAACTCCTCGGAAGCAAAATCAACGCAAACGGAAACAGCAGCTTCTGCCAGCTCATCTTCACAGGCTTTCCTTGGCAGACTGGCCAGAGAAATTGTTGACACTGTGTGCCCTGGAATCCTTCGTAGCTTCTCAGTTTCATCGAGACTCTAGCTGCGCGTGTTCTGAAAACCTGGAGCACCCTGGGGGAAATCTCTCCAGCAGACAGCTGCAGCCATCCCGGGCGCCTTTGTCAAGACAGGGTGGGGGAGCAGGACAAGGATTGCCCAGAGCACCTGAATGGCACAGCCTGGAGGCAAGCGAGGCAGCAAAGTTGCATGTGTTACCACCCCAGCCAAATACAACCGGTGCCAATGCCTTGCAATGGAGTCACACAATTGCCAGGGTGAGCATCCAAAATGGTCTCTCCAGAGTCCAGCTGCTCCAGGCAGACTGGACTGGGCATGCCAGAGCCATTTTCCCTGACATTCTTGTATTGGTGAAGAGAGAGAAATGAAGCCAAAGCCAACAGCCTCACTGTTGGCTATGAGGACCATGGCAATGAGGACACTTCGGCTATGAGGACCATGGCAAGGCGTATCGTCAACTGTGTGTTAGAGCAGACCTGTCAGCCTGGGCCTGCACTGAGCCCCAAACTGAACTTTGGAAGGCGTGTCGCAAAACCAAGTTCCTCGTGGCCTTCCCTGGGAGACAGCTAGGGGAATAGGCAGCAGAAAGGACCGAGAGGGAGAAAGCCTGTGAAAACAGAGATGGCTTTAGGAAGCGAGAGCAGAAGCGAGCAACGCCTTCACAGTCGGTGGTACCGCTGCCAGCCTGTCCTCCGCAGGAGAAGGCCGGGGGATGTACGGGGCACAAATGGTGGCTCTGAGGGGCCCGTGGAAGGGGACAGTGTTGGGGAGGTGCTCCATGGCGGAGGCAGGAGCACTGCGGCCAGCAGCCTGCGGCCTGTGGAGCAGCCCTGAGGGAGCAGAAGGAAGCGGTGCGAGGGAAGGGGCAGCCGAAGCAGAGGGAAAGGCGAAGAGCGGCAGAAAGCATCCTACAGTGATGCAGAACATCCTGCACTGCCCGTTGCCTCCTGGGCAGCGCTGGCAGGGACCAAGAGTGATGCGTGGCAGCAATGAGGACAGGGGAGACAGGAGGGGTGTCAGGACTGAAGGGGAGCCTGAGGAAAGGGAAGAGGGGTTTGTTACATCCTTCGTTTGTCCTCTGTGTTTCTCGAGATGCAAATCAGGAATGAGGTGTTGACAGCGATGGGCCAAAATCCAATGCAGTGCCATTCCCCAAGCTGAGGCTGCTTTGCCCGTGACGGGGAGGAGGTCTAAAAAGGAACAAGGGCTCAACCTGAGCCCAGAACATGCATTTTTGGTGCGGTGGTTCCTCGCATGTCTTCTTGGTGTGCGAGGATGCCTGCTTTGCTTCACAGAACCACAGAGCAGTTGAGGTGGGAAGGGGTCCATGTAGATGACCTCTTGGAGCCAGGTCAGCAAGAGCGGGTGGCCCACAGGCCTGTCCAAAGGGGCCTGCAGCCAGACCCCCCCCCACAGTCCAGCGGACAGCAGCCGGGCGGCTGCATGGCAATGCAGCAATACACGGGCGTGGCAATGCAGTGATGCGGCAGTGGGGCATCGGAGCAACGTGGTGATGCGACAATGGGTGACTGCTCTATGTAAGCCGCTCGCCGGGAGACGCACCTCGTCAAAAAAACACTTTTTACTCTTCTCCAAACAACTGACAGAAGGCATCACCACACAGCTATGAAGCTGCCTGAGGACTGATGTTTCCACTACAGAGATCTAGAATGTTTATTCCAGAGCCTCCTCACAGGTAGTCTGAAATTCCACTAAAACACCTCCTGATTCCAAGTTATTTGTAAGCCAGTTTGTCGAAGTCAGTGGGAGACAAACGACACACAAGGTGTTTGGTGAACGTCTCAACTTTATTCGCTATCTGACTCCAGTTATACCCTAGATAATTAGCTCATACATATTGCAAAAGCCAAGCTCATTATTGGCTACACATCTTTTCATGGTACAGCCTCTTGTTGCACATTCTTGCAGTTTCTGGCTGCTCCGGGCTCCGTCTTTCACATCCTGTTGTTTTGCTGAGCTAAGTCACAAGACTTGCTGCCGACCACCAAGGACACCCTGTCCTTGAGTCCAGTGCTTTTCCACTCAGGGCCTAACGAGCCTGTCTTTGTGGGGCTCATGACCGCGCTCTCAGAGCCATGTTTCAGCAATACTCTCCACACCAGTTTACTTTTTTACCAGCAGTCTTCACTAGCAGAAACCATATGAAGATGATTTCTGAATATTTTCCAGAAGGACACAGGTCAGTGTTGTAAACTTTCCTCTCCTCCTCCTGACTACCTCCAGAGCAAAGCAAACAACACCTGCTGCTCCCAAGTGCTTCTACTGTACAGGAAGCTGCAGTGACCCCTGAGTAAAATCATTCCCAAAGCTATGAGAAACAAGAGACTAAGGTAAACAACTGGGGGGTGGTACAGACAGACACCAGAAAACAACTTTGCACTGGTCTAACTCTGGTACTTATTGGTAAAATAGGTCAGCCAAGCTACTGACTTTGGCTCCAACACTTTCCTTATGTATTTAGCTTCAGACTTAAATCATGCAAGTTCCATCTTATTTTTCATCACTTTGCAAACCTAAATCCTATACACACCATTGCAACTCTGAATCACACTACAAGTGTATTCTGCAGAGCAACTCGCAAAAAAAGAAATTAGTTGAACTACTTATATTCTTTCTGAAGTCCTGTGAATGAGAAATATTTTTCTCAAAAAAAGCCAGATGCATTCTGAGGAAACAAGTTCAGACATTTATTAGGTTTAAGTGGCTCCCTTTGATCAAAACCAACCAGAGGACTAGCAACCAAAGTTCCAAAAGCACCTCCAGGAAATACAGTAAAATGCATTTCAGAAAGCAGCTTACACATCAGATACTTCTAAGCACGCACAAGTGCCCCGAGGTAGAAACCTGACTTCTCATGAAGCGCTTCGGGGATTCTTCTCAGGACTCTCTCCAGCTAACCCTGTAAACTGGATGCCTGTCAGCCTCTGAGGGACAGCACGCATGCTCCCAGACTCATCTTTCCACTGGGGAAGTGTGGCTGAAGAACTTTGAGACCACACTGCAGTGTGAAGCAAAGCATGGATATCCGCCTAACCACTATTGACCCAAACTAAAATGCTGATGTTGGCCCACACTAACACAGACACAAAATCAAAAAAGTAACAGTTGCGGTGGTTTCCCCAAGTATTGGGGAAAAAACCTGCTCTCTTCCCAGATTAAAGAGACCTTTAACTCCAAGACTATCAGCTGGCATGATGCACATGATCGTGAGGCTCCACCTCCCAGAGAAAACTTCAAGGGGGGTGGGGGGGTTCAGTTGAAAAAAAAAAAGAGAAAATTGTCATTCAGCCAATACCTTAGAGAAAACTTCTTAGAGGAGTCTTGAAATCGAAAGGAGCTCTGGTCACTGACATATTGCCTGTTTCTATTCAGCTATTTCAACTCAACATTTACAGCTCAGCTTGTTACTCGCTAAGCGCACTCTGCTATAAAATACGGAGATGACATTTAGCCATTAGCTAGTTTTAATGCTGGTTGGTACCACTTCAGTGAAAACCAGCAGCACGCTGGCAACACTTCAGTAAGCGTTAGGCAGCATCATGCTTAACAGTTGAGAGTACTGCAAATGAGTTTTCCTAACAGAACACATATTTGTTTTTAAAAAAAAAAAAAACCCACAACCTGAGAAAAACTTCACTTTACTTAGCTTTATTAAGAAAACAGTTAAGAGATTGCTATGACATTTACAACATAACGCCAGAGGGAATCGCAAAACAGCAATGAAACCTGATAAAAACACTGAAATCACATATAGTAAGAACAGTCCCTGTCCTGGGAGCCAGCTGTGCATAGTGGTCTTCCGGCAAGTAGCCCATCATCGTCCCAGAAAAAAGTAATTACAGAGGAAAAGTCAGTGCTGATACTTTTCCTACAATTATGCAATCAAAGCACAAATGGGAAAAAAGCACTTACATCTACACTTCCTCAGTTTGTAAACTTAGTTTGTGTGTGCACTGCCATTGTTTAGAGGACAAGCTACATTTTTTCTGAACTGACTGAAGGCGTAACAGGTGAGATGCAAGTTAAAATGCTCCCACCAGTAGTTACACAACTAACCACGGATGCCAGTAGCATATTTCAAACCCTGCAACTTGGTGTTACGCCCTCTTGTTCATTACCAGCCAAACACATATTCCAGTGCTTTGGACACAATACTTTCATCTTTCCTAGGAGTCTGTCTGTCAGCAACCACCTAGAAGGTGAAGGGAACGAGGA